CAATGTCTTTTTTTTTAGTCTGAGAATTCATTTCATTAGTCTAAAATAAAATAATAATAATAATATTTTTATTTGAAAAAAACTTGCATATGAACGAACGAATTATTCCGATTTGATCTAATAATCTTGGGAGGTAAATGCGAACAATAATGAGGAGCTTTTGCTTTCATTCATTAAAATACTCATCTTGCATCTTCTTCGTGAGCAGTGCGATGATCACAATTCTAATAAAGAGCATGTTTTATATAGGACGCAGCAAATTGACATGTTCAGACTTAGAAATTGAACTTTTATTCAGATATTAAAAAATATGAATTTTCTATCAATTTCCAAGTCTCCGAGATACAGTCCATATATCGAAACGTGCCTCACAAATCAGAAATATCATAATTAGATGTCGCAAGTTGCCACGTGCCACATGCCACATTTAGATTCAAACCACCCCTCACGATAGGCAAACATCCAGAGATATTTCATTCATTCATTCCAAAGAAATTAGCGAAGATATCTTGTCCGAGCAGATATATCAATATGACCGCAAACAATGGTAAATTTACAGACTTCTTACATGACCATCATTTTTTGCTTTCTGATATTGCTCCAATTGTGTCCAATGTGCTGCAATTGCGACTTTTTTAAATCGATGCGTTGCGCATTTCCCGAGCAGCGTTTTGCTTTGCTCAAAGTTAAGCGAAAATGATGTCTCGTGACAAAAGAGAAAGAATTTGATTGACGTGATTTCTGCAAGTTTTCCGAAAGAGAGGAGAAATGCCTAGATAATAACGGACCAGACTTGCCATAAACTATTTTTTTTTTCATTCCCTCGTGTTTAGATTGCATTTGTCGAAAAAATTACGCATTTCAAATATGTAGATCGCGGCAGTTCGATCATAGTAACTATGTCCCTTCTTACAATCTCCCGATAAATACATATATCGATTGGTATAATAAATACAAATTCACATATTGTTCGGATTCATGCGAAATGTAACACACAGAAGGGCTTGATATGGACACAATGCACTTATTATAGCTATAGATTGCGAATCATTTACCGCCTATCCTTGTTATCTTATGCTCAGCCTACAGATTATAATTTTTCAGATATTTTGGCGAATTCCCCCTATATTGATGCGTAATAGGTAATTTATCAGAAAAATAAATGAAGAATTATACCAGGCGAAGTGGTGTAGGGTATTTATTGATGGTTAAAACCTTACTTGACTAAAATATTTCCACATTTTTTTTTTTTTTTGTTTTTTTTTTTTTTTTGTTTAGGCAATTGGCCCAGTGACAGATTTAAGTGTAAACAGTATCAGCCAACGTGATTTGATATATAGCTTGACCGTGGAATTAAATGAAACCGAAGCTTGGCAACTGATTATCTGCAGCAATTGCAATATGGTTCTATGTGCTAAACAACTAACCGACTCTACCAGCGGTGTTACATCGCAACAATATCTTGTCAATTGTGCTTTACTGACAAATCACGACGAGGTGTCGCGCAAGCGTTGCGATAAATCATTTTCCGAAACCTTCGGTATACTTATTATCGATCATGACAATAACAATAATTATAATGAACAAAATGCTCATAATTTTCCAATGGGCTTGTTGTCCACATCTTTGGCTTCAGCAGCGAATTTGGACTCAAAACTGATGCGTCAAAGACAATTGCAGTGCAATTTACAGCAACGTTTGCAGCAAGAGATAACTGAAACAGACGAGCGTATACAACGATACGCGGAACAACAATTTGCTTTATTAAAGAGCTTTCGCGAGAAATCCGAACAAGAATATCAAATGCTTATGAAACTCATTCATTGCATTCCCGAGCAACAAGCCAATGAATGGTTAGATCCAATACCACCACTTTTAGAGTTAAACGGAAGCAATACGCTTTTTAGCTACGGTTCATCTCGCCGCAATACGATCTCCAGCCGTCGAGAATTGAATACAGCCCCTAGTACCCCGATCACGCCCCAGCAACCTATGAACATTTTCCCATCTAATGTCGAAAAAGGGACACAAATTGCCATGACTTCATTAGTGTCGCCGAGTGCTGCAGACAACAATATGGACCAAGCGTCAACTGTTGTCAGCAGTACCATGTCGAATCGAAAGGTTTCCAATTTCGATACACCACCTGATACTCCCGAGGGTGTTTCGATGAGTGTGGGGAATAGTCCTACATTTCGTCAACAGCAACAACAACAACAACAACAACATCATACAGTTCAGGCTATGGGCCAAAACACTTTTCAACAACAAGTTGCCACCCCCACTTTGGAAGCTGCCGATGATTGTTTATTTGAGCTAGAAGGCATAGAAAATGCAACAACTAATCCGGATGATTCATTTTTAAATACTACGATCTCGGCGAACATTTTGCAAAACTTGTCATCGCCATTACGCTCTAATAACAGATCTAATGTTGCGCAACAACAACATCAAAGTAATGTCATGCAAATGACAACGTATGGATTTCAACGTAACTTAAGCATTACACAAAGGCAACAACAGCGCGAGAATCGTATGAGTGACCTATACGAAAGTGATAGCGCTGAAGAGGGCGAAGGTCAGTTGTTGTTTCCCTAATTGATATATGAATTACTTGCATTTAATTTTTTTAAAATAATTCATTTTGTCTCTTGTGATCATAAGATGCCTTAGAATTGGACGTATCCTCGCCTATGGTCATGCAAACACCACCCGGCAGACGCATGTCCTCCTCTAATAACGGTGCACAAATGATGAATTTTGCCAAAAGTTTGCCTATAGAAATTGCCCACTCTCCAATGGCAAGCGATCGCAATTGTATAGCCACCGGTGCTGATAAGGACGGAAAGGTGGACTCTTCTCAACTATGCTCATGATCAAAAAATTGTAATTTTTTCTTTTATATTTTTTTTTTTTTAGGAATTGGATAATAACGTGGATATAGCAGCAAGCATTAAGGCTTTGGCGAAGAGTGTGCACGGAGAGGCTGTTTTTGGAGAATTGCCACGTCCCCTTTTGCGTTCTCAAATTTAAGGCAATATTTAATATTTTTTACGTTTTTTAAAGAAAATTTTTAGAATGTGTTTCTATTAAAATTTTTATTTTTAAGCTTACATCACTAATCTGACTTTTTATGGTTTTTTCATAAAATAAAGCAAGGCTTTCAATTAAGACAAAAACAACAATGGATTTTATGGACCAGATTTGCAGGGTTTTTTTTTTCTTCTTCTTTTTTTTTGTTTACTACCTTTTGTACAATTCCCAAATGTTTACAATACGTAGGCATGTCTTGCAAAGATCCCGAATAATAAGAGATGTCCTCAACTTTCCTATCTTTCAAAAAAAAAACTAACGTTTTGTTTTGGCAATATGTTCCGTGTGGGACAAGTGGACCAAAAAAAAGTAAGCGTTTTCTCAAAACACGTTTCAAATGCATAGTAATGCAGTGCCTTTATTTTCTCCTTTTGATATTGTCTCATAATCACCAGCGAAAGAAGGTAGCACGTCCATGTCGGCAAACAACACTGAAAAGAACACTTTATATAGACATCGGCAGTTGGCAAACACAAAGGGGTCAGTACCATGCAAACTAAGATCTCCGCCTTGTTAACATTTACATAGTAAAGCACTAGTGATGCAATCTATATCAGGATTGTAACTGGATCATCTATTACAGCAACCGATTCGATATCGTTTCTTAAATTGACTTACCCTCTGTAGGTATAATGGCCATTCATGTTTTCATATTCAACGTGATGGCAAATTGTAGAGATATTTTCACAAAATTCCCTACGCTGACGAGTTTTGGCACAAGAACAAACCCAATTGAACATAGAATGGATCGGACCATCTTATCAACTACTTGCCATATAGCGCCTTTGAGTAAAAAAAATATGCAATTTTCCAATTTCGTCGACAAATATCGCTGAGTAATAGGGTTTCGCAACGCTATTTCCAGTTGATTTACTCATTACCTATAAAAATGCTAGAGATGCATCTATGAGCGAAATGTCGCTCATCTTGGTATCTGAAAAAATGGAAAAAATCAGACAGGCCTACCTAACTAACATAAGGCGTCCAAGCTTAGTTCTTTTGTCTTGACTTGTGGGTTTTTCACGAGTTGCTGAGCGTAAAGGATTCCACCACTGAAGGATGGGGGTATACTCACTTCGTTTTTTTTTTTTTTCATAATCTATGTAACACTCAATAGGCTTCAGAGACGCAATAAAGATATACATCCTTGATCAGCGTGAAATTCTGAATTGATTAAGCAATGTCTGTCCGTTTGTGAGGCAAGATATTGTCTTCAAATTTGGGAAGTTTTTGCACGCAGGTAGGTACTGAAAATGGATTAAATTGATCAGGGCCGAACCTTGCAGTGGAGCTTAAACTGAACGCAACTCCAAAGACGACATATAGGTTTTTGTTCCATTCTTGGAAATTATTAAGACCGAAATTTTGCACATTTTCTTTCTGACTAAGTCAGTCGGTGAGCTACGAAAATATATTAAAGATTCGCGACTACAAAGCAAGTCTCTTTCCACTTTTAACAAACACAAGATACACAGCATAAATACAAGTTCATTTTTCAATTAATTTAATTGTATTTTAACTAAGGATTTTTAACGAAGATATAATTTTTGTTTTTTTTTTTACTATAACTCTTTAAAAGAATGTTGTTCAAAGGCACTGTATCGTTCGTATTAGCGACGGATATTTCATTTTCTTTTTTTTAGTTTCTTTCACTAATCAATCCAATCGGTATCATCATCGTTTCTATCTTCGTCATCGTCTTCGGCATCTTTAGGAGGTGGTATTAGCGAAGATAATCTCGATATTACTGGGTTACCAAATTGACTTTTATACGCTGTGGATTGGGTTGATTGTTTTAATAAACTTACTGCACTTTCTTCCTCTTTGTTACTCCCTGATATGCCTTTGCGGCGCATTAAAAGTTTATTGTGCAAATCCGCCATAAAGCTATCACTTGTATGCGGATTTGAGCCTTTTTTGGGTTGATTGCTTTTCGTGTTTAAAGGAGTGGCAGCAGTAGGTCTTAGTTGGGCTTTACCTATTCCGCCTGCTTGACGTATTGCTTCCAGGAGTTCAGTTCGCGGTTTGTTAGATGGGATGGGTAAATTTGTCTTTGCGGAATTGGTTGCCGGTAAAATTGCAAAGGGCGTAGAAATAGGTGGAGGCGGCGGCGGTGGTGGTGTGATAAACGATTCATGTAATGTTTCGACTTTCAGAACAGTAGAATTGGGCATTTCCTCGTTTTCTTGATCATTTTTTTTGTCGGCCTGTCCCGCTTTAATATCTTGGGATAAAAGCTTAGGTAGATCTGGTAAATTTTCTACCGCTAAAATCGAGGATGGGGCAATTGGTTGTTTACCTTCTTGATTTTCATAACGTAAATCCCCCGCAATTCCTGGCAAATCCGGCAAATCCATTGGTAAGTCCAAATCTGGAGCTTCTGATAATTTGGGTGTATATCGTAACATTCCGGCAGGCGAGAATTTTTCATTTCTGTGAGCTAACGAATGCGGAGCAGGTTCTAAGAGGTGCTTTTGATTACCGTAATGAAGTTGTTGATGTTGACCCTGAAGTCCTTGGGCACACTTGAGGTAATTATTTTTCTTTTCATGCATGTTATCTAAATCGTAAACACTCACATCAGTATTGAAAAGTAATACCGCGGGCACTGATGTCAGATTACCCGATACTTTTCCCAATCCTTGCGTTTGATTAACTTTTATTCTTTGCGCCTTTAAATTGGAGGGCATATCGCGCCCTGTTGATCGTACATGGAAAAAAAGCAATTTTTCGCTCATAGTCATCGTACAGGGGTCCATTTTACTTTCCACTTTGTAATTTTGCGCTGTAGCTTCATCGTCTTTCTTGGACATATCTGCCCAGAGATCCGAATCAAACGTTATTGGTATATTCTGGAATGCTTGCGTTCCCGGGAATTTAGATGGCGCATAAATGCGCAGAGCTTTGTGTGTACCCAAGAGACTTTTCACCTTCGATTGTGCTTTGTGGATACGTTCACCCAACTGTTTCACTTTGACATTATTAAATTCGATACGCTCGTCGATCCGAATAAAAATTTGATTTATTGTTTTCTGTAGACAATCAAGAGCATATGCTGCTTGGATTATTGTTTCTTCGTGTCGCAGATCAGGTGGCACAATTGGCACTGCGAACATATCGAATGAACTAAAATTGAACTCCTCACGAACCTTGGCAATATTTCTATAAAAGATGTGAAGTTCACAAAAATAAATATTTCCTTTTTTTTCCTTTTTTATAATCTCTCTACTTTCTTTTTTCAACTATTTATTATTTTTGACCATATGTTTGCTTAAACTTTTTTAACGCGTAAGAAGCGATATAACATAAAGAGTTGATGTGATCAGCAGTGAAAGCAATGAAAAAAAGAAAAGCGTCGAAGAAACAAAAAAATGGAAAAAGTTGATTTAGATGCAGGTGAAAGCTTTCATGCCGGGAAAACATATTGACGCAAGGCTACTGATGATTGATCGTAAGGAATAAAAACAAATAACATATGCTCTCATCCCACTTCTTTATTAATTTATAGGAATCTTTTAAGGAGCAAGCTACAGCCGGTCGGAAAAAAAGAGTTATCATTGAACAAAAAGAAAAAGTCTGGCGGAAACATCATAGGAAAGAATGCGAGCTTCTAATTGAAATGAAAAAGTTGAGAGAGATAACGGACGGAGAACTTGACAACTTGGAAATAACTGATATAATAAATGAAGTAATAAATAAGCTGATAATGAAGTTGCCAGTCGCAAAGAAGAGAATTTCCCACGGCTTAAATATGCAAATATTCCCAACAACCTCCAGAAGTCTGCAAAACGCAAAGATAAAGAGTTCACCTTTCCATTTAATTTCAGACAACTTCATATATTTCTGAATAAATACCATCATAAGGCTACCGAAACGAAGAAGTCTTGCATTTCAAAAGCGACGCTTGCAGCTGCTATGAAATATTCCGCGTTCCCTAACTTTTGCTCCATTTCTATTTCTGACCAAAAATAAGGTTTCCTTTCGTCATTTTTTGGAATGAAATGCAAAAGCACTTCTTCTTCTCAGATGTTTCCAATATTCTGCACTACGATACCCCGAGAGGATTTCTTTTTAATATCGGCGGAACTTTTCTATCAAACAACCGGTCAAAGATTCCACGACTTGCAATCTTTAACATGCACATTAGCTTTTGCTGAAATTTGAGATGAGTAAAAGATGACGACACCGGTGCTTTTAGAGTTAAAATTAAGGAATTAGCTTCATTTTTAGTGCTGGGTCAGGTTGCAGAATTATTGTCTGGAATAGTCTTCACATCTTCCTTTCCCTCCGCTAAGGATGCAGTTTCTACTTTTTCTTAAAGACCTCTTTTGTTCGCATTATCAGGCTTAGGAATGGTTCTTACGACCGCATTCCATTTTTTGTTCATGAACTGTGTGGACTTTACGGTGCAAAGCGAACAATTCTATCACCTCCTTTCAAAGTGCGTCATATTTCCACAATGGCTGAGAATTTGTGTGCACAAGCGTTGCATTTGGAATATAATGACGACCTGTAACATTTCAAAATCTCTCCCTTCTTAATACTCCTCTAGGAAACTGCTGGACTTTTCATAAAATTTATTCCTTAACTAGGAGGCTTCTTAATATATGCCATGATTTATTAAAATTTTTCCTCTCTCTGAGAAAGTTTTAAAGAAACCATATGCATCTTCTGATATAAACAAAATTAAATAATTATTGTAAACTAACTAAAAACTATTTGCAAGGAGTTTTAAGTTTAAAGCGTTCCCAACATCGGTTTGCGGCCAGGCCAAGCTTCTTTAGCGTATTTCTTTTTCTGAGGTTCGTCGTTTGTTTCTGTATGTATTGATCCGTCATACCGTACTAAAATGGAAAGCAAAGTTTTGGTAATAAGATAAGTATACTGTATTCAAATCTACCGTTTGCCGAAGCTATTTTCCGAGTTAAGGCTGGTGTATTTATGGGCGACACAGAAGATGCCTCAACAGGCGTCACATCAGGTGCTGGATTCGGTAATAATAAACCTAATTTCGAACCTAATGCCAGTGGGCTTGCCAAAGTAAAGTCATTGCCGACGTGCTGTATATGACCGTCATGGGTAGCAGCTGGTAGTCCTTGGTACAAAGACGGTGAAGCAGAAGTGGTACTAGTGGAAGAAATCGCGTTTTGTAAATTTTTTATATGGTCCTGCATGGAGGTTAATGCGATATGTTGCGTAGGCGTGGTTAAACCCATTTGCAAGCCTTCATAACGTGCGCGCTTAATAGGAATTACTGTTGTCTGTACAAGATTACGAAAACGCCCGACGTTTGGATCTATATCTTCGGGATTAATAATGATTTCCTCATCATTAAAAATAACACAACGACGTTTACGTGACTTAGTCTGCAAATTGATTTAAAAGGTCTCTTTTAAATTTTATACCTTACATCAACGAAAATGAGATACCTTTCTTATATTATCGTCAGTTATGCCTAGCATAGAGATTCTTCGATTGTGTGCCGTATTATATTCCGTTAAATTCTGGAAGAGAAAAGTAATGATTTCTTTTATTTCGAGCATTTCAATGTTTTTGTCGAAACAACATACATCCAATTCTGTTTGACTCTCTGGCAAACCTAAGAGCGCGCCTTCATTAGCATCATTCATTGGTATGTCCTCCATAATGTTACTACGTTGACCTGCCGAAGGTCTTTCACGTAAAATGTAGCGCCTGGTAGAAGCACCAAAATGAAATGTACTGTTAACATGCAATTGTGTAGGTTTGTTTGGTTCAATTCGTAATGTTCCTATAAAAGTCCCGTGAGCTAATATATATATAGAGGAAGAATTACTGCGGCCTAGCTGAAAAAATGTCTCATGCATTAATATACTTGAACCCAAGTCCACTAAATAGGCAATGTTTAAATGCTTATGATAAACAAAAGCAGCGTGCACGCGAGAACATGAAGCGTGATCTATACAGAAATCATTCATTTGTGCATTTCGTCCAAACAAATAGCATTTCTTTTCGTCAACCATTAGTTTTTGTACCAGTTTATCTTCTTTAAGAACGTCCAAATGAAGACCAGTAGGAGGTTTTCCAGCCCTTGAATGAATCACTGGTAGTTTGATTATTTTTTTCACAATACGAAACGTGGCCACACTTACCAAGATGGTATTTCATAATTGTTTGCCATAAATAAATATGTCAATTAAATATAAATTTTAAAATTTTATCTTTTTAAGTTTTCTTTTGTGATATTGTCAGTACTATAACAGCCCCGTTTTTAGCTGATATATGGACGTATAAAGTTAAGTATATTGAAAATTCAGTAAAACAACCAAATCTCGAATAATAGTACACTAAAGTTAGCAACACTTCCGCAACAAGATTCGAGGTCAATATTTGAAAACAATTACGAAAAAAAAGCATTATTTTTTAGACGACTTTTACCTTTCATGACAGTAAAAGCTGACAATTTTTTTCATTTATCGTACATGCGAGGGTTATTCGGATATAATTGAAAATTAGCTTTTGCTTTCAACCGTTTTTGCCAAACAGCTGATTACAACAGCGGAAATTAAATTTTTCATACGTGATTACTTGCAAGACTTTCTTTGGTATGTTATGTAATTTCCAATGTTTTGCTAATCGTCGTCGTAAAGTAATAAAAACTAACCAAAATTGACTAGAAAAAAGTGGGTTAACCAAACAAACAAGAAAAAATTTCAATACCCGTGATCCCTTTTCAAGGTTTAATAATTATTTTTATAGAAATTTATATATGTTTAGCTTTCATTTTAAATATATTTAAAAAATATTAAACTAATAAATACAAAAAAAGGTTAAAAAATCTAAAAATGTAGTAAATACTAACTGTGTAACTGTGTTTCTTAGTCGCGGTATAAGCTTTCCAGAAGTTCATTGACAAGAAAATCTATAAGACTTGGATCTTCGCGTTTGCCTTTGCAAGTTTAATTTTATTTGCTTATAGGAGAGTTGGTTTATAAATGGAAAATGTCCTTATGACTTAAGAGTGCAGGAAATAAATAACAAGCACACCTATGTGGGAGATTTACTTTAGTTTCGAATTCGATTTCGAGCTCGCCGTTTAAAGTATACTTTCTGGCCTTGGGAACAAATGCTTTGTGGTAAAGCAGCCAATCCCCAGGAAGGATTTATGACTCCAACGTACTACTAGTACCGTTTAGGCCTATTCGCCCAAGTGGCTATTCAGTAATAATAATTGACCCCCGTCTGAAGGGTCCAGTCAAACTTTTGTCTTAGTACTAGAGAACTTACCTCCTCGGCTGTCCTAATCGACTGCGATGTATCTCAGACTTTTATGATGTGTATGGTGATCAGTATATCTGTATGCACATGTGCTTAGAAGAAGATGATAACAGTGCAGCTTAGCTTATCTCCAGCTACAATACGGTCGATTCAATTTCCGTTTATTCCTAATTATTAAAAGTTATTCGTTCACATTTATTTTTAGAAAATTTGGAGACTACTCAAAAAATTTACGATTTTTAATAACGAAACAAGAAAAACTTATGACAATAAATAAAAAGCAATGCTGACATTTTTAGTTTTATAAGCTTAGAAATTTAGACATATATAAACACTCTGCATCCCTCCCTCTCTTAGAGAAAAAGTAAATGAAATGTGGGTGTTATCGTGGCTGTCTGCGTTGTCGGTAAATTGTTGAATTGGGTGGTTGCGGGTTTTAGTCTTTTTTACGGCTACAGTTCGTATGTCGTTTGTCATTAATATTTTTAAAAATTTGGGAATTTTTTTCAATAACCTTGTGAGGACGTTGTAAAGAGCGCTTGCTTGGGCTACGGGCAGAAACTTGTTCACACGTTATTAACGTTTTGGGGACATGTAGATTGGAAAGCGGGTTCCTGTAATGGTGTACTTGCGATTCGACTTTCTTGAAGTTTTCTTTTAATTGTAATATAGACGCGGGTTCATCTGCGTTAACGTCTATATTTTAGACTAGCATTTCATCCTTAAATGGAAGATTTTCTCTGTAAACCATTTCAGCCGGTGCTGCGCTCTATCACACCATTGCCTTGAAGTGGTGAGCGGTGGTCGTGATATTATGATTAGCAAGTAATTTTGTAAATTCTGTGAAAAGGGTTGAAGTAAACTGTGCTCCTTGATCACCTTTGATTGTTTGCGATAACCTGAAGAGTGAAATGTAATTGTTTACAAAGAATTCTCAGAAAGGATACGCTTCGGACCATCGTGTGAATCTATCAATTATGCCAAGTATATAGCGATTACCATTACATTGAGCAAGCGGACCAACAATGTCTATATGGACGTTTCGGAATCCTTTGGGAATTTCTATTTTGCGTGCTGATGTTTTCGTCTTTCCCTTTTTTTTTCTGGCCAAAAATACCATTCAGCTATTAATTTCTTCGTTGAGGTCTTGAGATTTTCACGAACACTTCACATCAAATTTCGTATTTTATGCATGGAACTTTCATTGGTTTTAGGTTAAGATCTTTCCTAATTGGTCCAATGCATTTGAAAGGCCTTGCCTGTTTCGGACAGCGGTCAGTATTGCAGTCTAACGTCTTAACAACTTGTTTATGGTCAGTAAATATCGTAAATTGTCTCTCTGCCACAAAGTAACTGAAGTGGTTGATTGTGAAATAGATTGTGAGCAACTCTCGATCGAAGATGCCCTACCTGATGGTCTTGGTTTTGGCCCTATATTATTGGTCCATCACAGCGTGAGTTAATAAAACTCTTGTTGATCTCTTCCAAAGCTGTGTTTAGGATGTCTGTCCTCGTCACTGCTGAAGAGCATAATATCATCAATATAGGCGAAAACGAAATCCACTCCATTGAATACCTCAGTTACGAACCTTTGAAATGTTCGCGAAGAATTTCTAAGTCCAAAAAGCATTCGCTCGAATTCAAATATTCCGAATGGCATGGTGATTACCGTTTTAAATATATCTTCTTCTGCTATTGGAATAGTAGTACGTTTTGACGAGAAAGAATTTCTTATTCCCCATATTTAAATTCTTATTACATTTAGATGTATGTAATCACCGCAAGAACGTCAATCATAAGGGCCTTTTTGGCTACTAGAAATCATTCATTTGTGCATTTCGTCCAAACAAATAGCATTTCTTTTCGTCAACCATTAGTTTTTGTACCAATTTATCGTGTTTTAGAACGTCCAAATGAAGACATTACATTAAAGTTAGCAACACTTCCGCAACAAAATTCCAGGTCAATATTTGAAAACAATTGCGAAAAAAAAGCATTATTTTTTAGACGACTTTTAGCTTTCATGACAGTAAAAGCTGACAATTTTTTTCATTTGTCGTACATACGAGGGCTATTCGGGTATAATTGAAAATTAGCTTTCGCTTTCAACCGTTTTTGCCAAACAGCTGATTACAACAGCGGAAATTAAATTTTTCATACGTGATTACTTGCAAGACTTCCTTTGGTATGTTATGTAATTTTCAATGTTTTGCTAATCGTCGTCGTAAAGTATTAAAAACTAACCAAAATTGACTAGAAAAAAGTGGGTTAACCAAATAAACAAGAAAAAAAACAAAGTCGTTGATGAATGAGACGGTCTGCAAATACAGGACTTGACTAAGAACTCGACTTCTGTCTTGACTATGTTATGGTTAATTGGATCAAGACGTCTGGCCTTGGGGAAAGGAAGTGTTCTTCTAGAAACCAATTTTTAGACAATGATGTGTTTAATTCAGAAAATCTTTGAGTAACTAGTATATTGAGTTTCTATTCCGAAAAGTTTGGAAGAAGGAGTGCTACGTGGAACAGCGAGTACATTCACGGACAAACTCGTTAATGGATCAACTAATTGTTTCCATTTAACATAAACTGGTAGATCGAATTTCCCTAAAAAATCAGTTCCAATGACAGCTATGGGAATGTAGGCTATAGTAAATATGAAAGGTATGAAAGGATGACATTACGCCACGTTTTCCCGCATGTCTTAAGGTTTGATCCATTAGCTGCATAATGCCTTTTTGTTGTTAGCATTTGCGTAGTTAGTATAGAACGTTGTGAAGCTGTTTGTCGGCTTCGATGAAGAAGTTGTACTTTGCTGGATTAGTGAACCGGTTAAGAAATTTGAAGTTTTCGGAAAAATGTTTTTAGTTTCGTGTTCCACTATGGGTTTGTATTCAAGGCGCTTACAATAGAAGTGTCAATTCGTAACAGGTAACCACAACGCGCTGCACCGAAGGACGTACAATTTTCTGCGTTCAGAGCGTACGTTTGAGAAAGGAGGATGTTAGCTGTGGTATTCTCTTTGCATGTGCTATGTGGCGGGAGCAACCAGAAGTTTAATTCCGCCCGTTGAAATGGTCGCATTAAGCGACATTTCGATAGTTGCCTGCAAAGCCACTTATTTTTTAGAATTTGGCCGCGAAATTATTGGACGTCCGCTATTATTGGATAGTAAAATTAAACGATTGCCAAGTAAGGATTTAGATTAGTTGTTTTGATAGTTAGAACTTCTGGAGGTGTTCTGTTTGCTAGTTGCCTGAAATGAATGCCGACTATGGTAAGAATACAATATCCATTATTTGGATTATCCGATCCAAAACGTTCACTTAGAATACAACAATCAGAAGCATTGTATCGTAAAGACTTTATGGTAGTTGAGAGGAAGGCGCAGTATCACTGAAGCTGCAAAACATCGGCATCGAGTGGTCTTTGGATGCTTCCGGATTAAAGTCGGAAATGAAACTGAGCAGAAACTTGCCGTATTGACTTGACTTAATGTTATTTATTGCCGCTAGTAACTGGCTTAGTAGGAGAATTTGCAGCTACTGTTTGTTTCGGTGGACTTTTACTTAATGTTTTGATATATTTGCCCGGAATATTAGTTTCGGCTTCGAGGGTATTTAATTTTGGGAATTCCTTTCCATAGTTGATCTAATATTGCATTTCTTAGTTCCGAAAAATGACGTAGATGAAACGCACTTCTGACTGAGGTCGACTGACTTCAAATTTGTGTCTCACGGAAGTATAGGAATATTTGAACCACATTGCGAAATCGAAAAGATTCGTTACAATAGCAAAATCTCTCTGGGAAAAACAAACCAACTTATATTTACTGAGAAAATTGCTGAGCTCCTTCAGAGCTAAATTACCAATAATCAAGTCGATAGATAATCGTAAAATGTTACACTTGACATCTTTTGACGCTCGAAAGCGTAAAAGAGAATCAAAATTTTTTGGAATTTTTAACGAAAATTTTAATTTTTTATTGTATTCAAAAGTTCAAATTGAAAATCAGTATAATTACGAGTAATAAACGCATCTATTTAGTGAGGATATAGGGAAAATTATTTTAAATAACAGTGAATGTTTTTCAAGAAAATTCCCTTTGCGATTTTGTTTTCGATGGCCGCTTATGCTATTTGGAAATTACCACCCGATCAGTATCCATTCGCTTCTACGGCATGTGTAATAGCGTTGGTAAGCGGATTTATGGGCCAACCACGCGGACCGGTATGTACACTGAACCGTGTAAAGCAATTTTTCACAAGTCTGATGAATTGTGCTCCGCTAGCGTTAATGAACATCGAAATATTTCACGAAGTCAAACCTATTTATGCCGCGGCACATGCGTATTCCGTAATACCATTAGGAATCGATATTATGGCGAATCAATTCGGTGACAAATTTGATGCTAAGATGTCTACAATTGTAAAATTTTTGAATCATTTCTTAAACATGGGTTCGCTGATTGCAATCTCAATACTTGAAAAGAATTGTGCGTATTCGTTCATCATGCTATCGTACTTAATGGCTCAAGTGAGTTTGACGTACGGCCTTTGCGCTACAAGAGCACTAAACGAACAGTTGTATGTGATATTTGTGGCGCTTTTCCTGTTCGCATGTACAAAAATTGTTGGCCATAAAGACTACATTGGCAAGGACTGTTGCAAAGTCTATTAGTCTCTCATGGGTTTTAACATCGTGGAGGTACACATGCTATGCCGATTTCATAAATTTTTTGAACTTAAGCATTCAGGCTACACACAAGTTGTCAAGTAGCCTGCGAAAAAAAATAGCAAAATTTATTTTAAATTTGACATTCCCTTTTACAACTGATTACTTGACCTATTTAAGGGGTTTTTCAAACGCGTTTATTCTAGTTAATAAAATTTAATAAAAAGTTTTGTAATCAATTTAAAAAAAAAAAAAACGTTTTGATATAACGATTGAATTTTTAGAACTAAAAAATATGTGACAACAAATATATTATTTTACCTATGTAGTTAAAATGCGCACATAATCCACACTACATATTTGAATAATATGCATTATGTCTCTCTCATTAACAGCTGCAAAATATTCTTTAAATGTTTATTTTTTTTCTTTTGGTGGAGATGTTGAATTGGATAGGGCTAAGGCAATGAGAATGAATCTTAAATGTTCACGTAATAGAATGTGATGACTATTTGCGAAACTCGCGTTATGCATATACTTATTTTTAAGATTAAGACACTATTGAAGCCATTGTATGTTGAGATGTATTAGTAGATTGTAATCGCGAATATAGTGATATAAGAATAATGTTACAAACTTTGGCTGAAACAAGATTTTTTCAGAGATAATTGCGACCAAACAAAAGGATAAGGAACAGTAAGAACTTATCGTTAGCTAAAAAGACATATGCCCTTTTCTAATTAAGCAGGCTAGTGTTTCAAGATGAACATTAACTTTTGCTATAAACAGAATTATTAATACTTCTACCATTACCGTGACATCTGAAAAGGCGATGATTAATTTATAGTTTACCATGGTAGATGTTGGATTTTATGTATGGATTTGTTGGAAATATTGGATTTGCATAATGGTTCAGCAAAATGCCATGAAGCTTCAGGACCCCAAAAGCAACGGGCGCACTTAGAACAGCGGACCGAGCAAATACTCATAAGATTTAATAGATATACATGATGTTATGTTATTATATGCGTGTTTATCTCCATTTTTTTTTTAGAATATTCCAAAAATTGAAATGCCAATGCCTCTAATGCCTCCAAATTTCGATGATGTTTTCTCTTCTCATGCCGCTAATAACAATTCAAATCATTATCTTCAATCGCAGCAATAGCAGCAAATCTATTAAACAAATCTATTAAACAAAAAACATAAAAAAAAAAACAAATTGAATTAAATAAATTATTGTTTTATTTAACTGAACTAATATGTGATAGCTTCATAACTACCTTGACATTTATAATTTCCATACTGAACTACTGTCTGCCTATACACTGCTCAAACACGCCCTATTCATTTCGTAAAGTAACGATCAGAAAACTTTGCCTTTTGACAGAAACTGTGACATAATAATGAATCAAATAATGAAATTATTTTAATAAAAGGTTGAAATTCAGATTCATGCTCTGTAGAAGTTATTCAATGTTTGTTGGTTTTTTAAAGATGCCAAAAGTAGTAAACTCGTGAATTAAAAAAAAGGAAAAAATTGCATTAAAAGACATCCTTAGAATCTTCCGCCAAATTAGTATCTTACTAGGCCTGCAAGTAAATCAAAAGGCCAAGGGAAAAAAAGGCAATTGAATTGTGAGCAACATATTGTTTGCTCGCTTTTGTATGTGTGTGTTTGTGTGTATGTAGGCGTGTGGCTCTTCTTAGATGTCAGATCAAAACTATCGTCATTGAAAGTATTGTGATCGTGGCAAATTACGTAGACGTAATTCAGACGATATTCGCTTTATCGAAGCACTTTTTCATTTGCAACCATGATAATATAATAAATAATCTGTGTGTAAACCTGATTTTAAAGAATCCTTAGTTAAATTTTTTATATCTATGAAGCTTATGGGGTTTTATATTTTAGTTTAATTTCTGAATTCACTTCTAACCATAACTTAGCTAAATAGGGAAATATTGCGTTTAGAAAATTGATGAAATTTGTATTTGGACTATTAAACCACAGCATTTTCAACAATTTAAACAATTTTGACGAATATGTGGAGAAAGAAAACGAAACTTTAAATGTCATTGTCACTATCATCCTCATTTTTAAAGGCCTCGCCTGCTTCAATGGCCATGGGATGCCAGGGTTTGGGATTAATGCGATGTACGCCGTCTGTTGCTTTGCCAACCAAACTCATTTCGAAACGGAAGTCTCTGTCCTTCAGTTCATCATGCACTTGATAAATTCTGAAAGAAAAATTTATGTAAACATTCATAGCACATTGTCTACGTACTTTAAAATGCCCTTACATTTTACCAGCGTTTTGTACTAAATCCTCCGTCGACATTTCTGCGAAGGTAAATTTCTCCATCTCAGTTTTAGCCTGTTGTTTAGCTTTGCCACTGGCACACGCAAAATAGCCGAAAGATGAACCAGATGGTTCGATTTTATATAATTGGGGACCATGCTCTTCTGTCCAAGCTGACAACAGCACAGAAACACCAAATGGTCGTACAGCGCTGTAGAGAGTATACGCATGAACATAAGCTGCTATGCGCTCACATAAATGTTTTAAGGGGACGGTGCGTTCAAATTGATGTCTGTAATTTGCTGCTTCTTGCCGAGCTATATCAACAATGTACCGGCCATCAGCCAGCAGGCCAGCAATCGCAAGACCAATATTCTTATCTATTGTAAAAATGCGGGCTCCTGCATCGCTTTCGTACAAATTACTGGTTACGATTTTTTCTACCGCTAATACGACCCCGTCTCTACCTCTTAGGCCTACAACGGTACCGCTTTTTTCCACAGCTTTGCAAGCATAGTCAATTTGAAATACACGTCCGTCTGGCGAGAATTGTGAAGCCGATAGATCGTACTGAAATGACACAATTGATAATACACCTTTTCTCTTATTTCCTTGATTCCACTCACCCCAGTACCAATGGAACTCATTTTATATTTTTATATATCCTCTTTTCTTCTTAAATTTTAAAAGTCTTTCGAATGCAATTTAAGCTATATTAACAATTTGCCTTTTTGTTTAGGTTTTTTGTGAGGTTATATATAATACAAAGCAAAATTTTTGACTTTTCATTGTAGGTATGATGCCAGACTTTTTTGAAACCTTTAAGCAGAGTGTCACTGAATACTTGCACATAATTAAAGCACCAAACACAATGACGGCATATTAGTGGAAGAAATAGCATATGTTGTATTACTAAAGTAAAATTATATGATTTGCAGAAACGACCGTGCGATTAGAATGTGCTTAGAATTTGCATTGATAAGGAAACGCGAAATTAATAAAACAGAAAATTTCTTTAACAAGTTTAATTTTTAAACACAAAATTAAAAAGGAAGTGAATTTATTTATTCCTGGTACGGATGCACAATAGTTAATAATTAATCGCCATCTTTGATATCATCGTGCTACTTTGAAAGGAAACGTATGGGCGACAAAAGTAGATATATAGCAGCCATTTAGTTATTTTGGTTATGATAATAGGAATGATTTTGTTTTGTTTTTATAAATAAATCACTGTTTTTTTCTGTCAACAATACGCGAACAGGCCTAATCATGGGGATAATTACGTATCTAAAAGTCAGCTTATGTTTTCGATTTTTGATTGGTTTCGCATCGCCTATTTGATAGCATGCAGCATTGCTTGATGATTATCGGTGTTTTGGAATCACGTAGGCACAACAGCCGTTAAATACAGTCTCCCACGCGAAGAGAGAGCGAAGAGAGCTTACGCTTGGCACTAATATTGGCTGTTCTGAGTTAGTTTGGTAGTGTAGAGTTGCATTTGTAACAGAAAATTGTTTACTCGGAAACAGCTGACCACATCAAAAAATTAAAAAAAGAATTAACAAACAAAATTTATTGACCAAAAAAGTTTGAGTTAGCCGTGAAACCAAAATTGCAAAATAGAAAGAATTTTAAGACATTTTTCTTTGATTGGGCATACAAGTCACATTCATTATTGGCTTAGACCATTAAAACCGCAGACCCAAAAAAAAGAAATTAAAAATAAATTTGAAGGTATGTAATATATTGTTAAATGTTAACGAACAATCGTTTTGTGTTAATCAGTATATTGTAGTGTGATCGCGTATCGTTATATGCATCCACTTTGAATTGTGACAGAATTATGCGAATTCAGCATAATTCTTTTGCTAAAAGAAACTAAAAATTATGTCACACTTCACCTGGCTAAGTATTGCATTACGATGCCAGGCGCCCCCAATCAAAACAATTATCATTTTTGTAGATGTAAGCATAATATAGTATAAGAACTTATCTATAAATAGCCGGGTAAAAACTGAATAAAGTAATGGTTTTTATGCAATTCAATCAAAGCGTATCAACTCGCTGTTATAAGGAAAGACGTTCTATCCGCCTTGTAACTTTAGTTAGGGACTGTCTCATGCCGAGCTTAATTGGCATTTTTAAGAGACAGCTCGACTTATCGCACTGAAGCCGAGCAGCATATGGAAATACACCAACAACACTTGATCACACTTTGGAATCTTTCCCGTAAACAAATTATTTGTACACGTCAAAATTTTTCCTTAACAGTATAAATATTAGGCACATTATTTTATGGAAGACGATTGAACTTTACGACGATTTGCTTTTGAAGCCAATTGCATATGTCAAATGGCGCCTTTCTTTTTTGACTTTCTTTTTCCCAGCTGCACCTAACAAAACCCTAGCTGTACTCGGCATATCATCTTTAGACGGTACATCTATTACACAATTGCGCTACAAAACAACCAAAAACTACTCTACTGGTGGAGAGAAATGCATCACTATCGAAAGATTTCATCAAAGCGCCAAATTTCAGTGATTCTTTAATCCCATCGACTGCTGTCCCTAAACTTGTTTAGTTTGCTATTTCATTTTTCAAGCATCAAGACGTGTCTTCGCTGTTTACTTTCTTTACGTTGTTTACCATATGCTTAAAACGCGTTCTAATTGCGTGCAGGCACTAAGAGTAACGCAACGAGTACCCATCAGGTGAGTGGATGGTGCCGAACCAAAAAAGTTTTTCAAGTTGAACGCGAGAAAATGCGAAGAAAACAACAAATATATCGATTAGTGGAATTATTCGTTAATTCGTATTAAAGTTCAGACAAAGACCTTCGTATTCCCATTGCACCGTTAATACACTGCACAGTTTTGGATTGGTTAATTTTTAGAAGGAGAAAAAGTAAAGCAATAATTGTTCACCGATAAAAATTTAACGACAAGTTGCTTCGATTTTAGCCGTTGTCATAAAGAGCTTTTATATTCTTTTAGCATTCTGTGCATTCTGGGCATGAGTAAATAATGCCTTTATTCTGATTGGCTTAATGAAACGTTAGAAAAAGTTCGAGAAAAACTTTAAATTGGTTGAAACTGTTGATTAATTTCACTGACGGAATGGTTGAGGTAGACTTTCTATTGAGAACGAAAAACTTTCTAACCGTTATTGCGAATGGTAATTATGCAAAACCGGATGACAGAGAGCACGAAGTCAGCAGCAGAATTATTACGTGTTGTACGATTCGACATGTTTTTTTATATATGCTGCTTTTAAATTATGTTGTAAATATTGTAGTATTTAGGGCGTTTCAAAATTTTCTTTAAGTTTGATAGCAAAGTACATAAGCAATTTTTGTACATCTGCAAGACGTTGAGTACGTAGTAGTTATGGAGCCCGTTCGCTTTCGTGCGTCAAGCGTGGAATATTCAGTAAAAGTGTAGAAACATTATTATGAGATAATAAAGAATTCATATAACTTTTTCTCCAAACAACCAAATCATATTCCATGCTGTGCAGTTTATCTAAATATCCATTGCGATAGCTGGTAAAAACTGCAAAAGAAGTTTGTTTCATTGACACATATAACATTTTTTGAATTCAATTTTTAAACTAATTTTATAAGTTGAGCTCGCTAAGGGCTGGAGGAGCGTCGATTTACAAATATAAATAAACATCAATTAGAAATTTGACCAGAATTTTGGTTGGTTATGCAAAAAATTTGTCCAACATTTTTCCGCTTGATGTATGGGTACATACACAACAATAAACAATGTTTATCATAAACCTTCGAAGTGTTCTAAAGTTAATAAAATTAGTTCTAAGGTTAATAAAGCTTGTTAATGAATGATACAGTTTTTGATTTTTGGATTTGTAAAAATTTATTTCAAAAATTCATAAAAATTTCTAAATAAGACATTGTTCTAAAAATAATATTAATAATAGAAAAATAAATGAAAAATATTTCTAACAAATATAGCTTGTGCAAAGGAAACAAGAAATAACACTTGGACACGATAGAAATTTTTGTGTTCGGCTTAGATATCTACTTATATATGTCATTTGTTATCGTACATTTGAACTTTCGTAGGAATCCATAACTGGACTGTATTATTCACTGTTATATTTTCTTTATTCCACCAGCATCAGCAAATCGTCACCATCTAGCTTCATGCCATTGCTGACTTCCAGTTTCGTGACAACGCCCGCTTTTGGAGACTGAACCACCATTTCCATTTTCATTGCAGACAATACGAGCAATGGTTGGCCTTTTTCTACTTTGTCACCCTCTTTAACGCGAACATCAATTACGGTACCAGGCATGGGTGCTCCTACCTCATTTTTGTTGCTCTTGGATGCCTTCGGGTGTATGTGTAGTTCCTATAAATGAAAAGATAGCATTTAGATCTTTTCATAACATAAAATAAACATAACATAAAATATTTAAATATACCTTAACAGCTTCTTTATCACGTATTAAAACTGATCGCAGTTGGCCATTCATTTCGAAGAACACCTCGCGTTCACCATTGGGTGTTAAATCTTCAGCCATGGCCAGAGTTTTCAAACTGAGTGTTTTGCCTTTCTGTAAATTGACTTCGAATTCCTCACCAACTTTAGGACCAATCAAGAATATACGGGTGTCTAATTTTTCAACAGGCCCGTAGGCTTCGCGGAAGTGTAGGTATTCTTCAGTGACGGCCGGATAGAGTGCTGCAGACATAACATCACGATCGTTGACGTTAGGATGAGTCTCTTTAAGGTCTTTCTTTAACTTGTCAAAGTTCAAAGGTGGTAGCTTTTCGCCTGGGCGTCCCTCGACACGAGGCATATCTTTGAGGACACGAGAACGGAATGGTTCAGGGAAGCCTCCGTGTGGAGTACCTATAGAACCTTGCAAAAATTCCACTACCGATTTAGGGAAGGATAGCTCCTCGGCTTTCTCTAACACTTGGTCAGCTGTCAGTTTATTTTGGACCATGAACTGGGCTAAATCTCCGACCACTTTGGAAGAGGGAGTCACTTTTATTATGTCACCTAAGAGTAAGTTGGCTTCGCGGTAAGACTTCTTTATATCCTCGAATTGATCTCCTAAACCTAAAGAGAAGGCTTGGAATTGTAGGTTGGTGTATTGGCCACCAGGAATTTCATTCATGTAAACGTCAGCATTGCCAGATTTCATGGTAGTGGTACATTCGAAAGGTGCATATAAAGTACGTGTCTGTTCCCAGAATGCGGAATATTCGGAAATGCTACTCAAATCGAATGCGGTATCTGAGGGCGTACCTTGCAAAGACGCCACTATAGCGCCCATGCTTGGTTGGGAAGTCATGCCCGACATAGAATCAACGGCTACGTCCACTACATCGGCTCCTGCTTCCGCACAAGCCAACATAGAAGCCACACCCGCTCCTGAAGTATCATGAGTGTGTATATGAATAGGAACATCAGGATGTTTATCGCGTATGGCAGAGATCAATAATTTGGCAGCTTGAGGCTTCAATAGGCCAGCCATGTCTTTAATAGCAAGAACATGTGTGCCAGCCTTAACCAATTCATCTGATAAATCTGTATAGTACTTCAAGTCATATTTGCTGCGATTCGGATCACTAACATCACCCGTATAAGATATAGCTGCCTCTACTACACCACCAGCTTTGCCTGCCGCTTCCATGCCCAAAATTAAATTGGGTAAATAGTTAAGAGAATCAAAGACACGGAAAATGTCCATGCCAGTTTGGACCTGAAAAAGTTATAATTAGCTATTCTCTCTTTGATAATATTTAAGAACAAATTACCGCTAATTCACAGAATTTATAGACCACGTTATCCGGGTAGTTGGTATAACCAACAGCATTAGCACCTCGCAATAACATTTGGAATGGAATGTTGGGAATCAGTTTACGCATCTCCTCCAAACGTTCCCAGGGACATTCGTGTAAAAAGCGCAGAGCAACATCAAACGTAGCACCTCCCCAATTTTCCAAGGCGTACAAATTATGAAACTTATTGGCTACATATGGAGAAATTTTTAAAAGGTCATGTGAACGCACTCGCGTAGCCATTAACAAGTGATGAGCATCTCTAAAAGTAGTATCCATAAGCATGAGATTCTTCCGGGAGCGCACTTCTTTGGCAAACGCTTCAGGGCCCTGAGATTTTAGTAATTGGCGAAGACCTTTAGGGGGCTCCGTTACTAAATAAAAGTTAAATGAAGTGTAAAATCATCTTTGCTAATATCAAAATAATATAGAATAAAGAATGATAGATAGTCATACATATGCGATATCCGTCGAATTTCAATGAATACATTTATTAGAAGCTTTAGTATGGTTTAGCAAAAGATGGTTTGTTCATTTTTACATTAGGAGTAGTAGAAAGTGATGAAAATTAGTGTATTTTGAATAGAATGTAAATCCTCTTGCCGAAACATTAAAGAGACAATATATTTTGATGGATAGACACCTCCAAACTATATATATATATATATTTATATGCAATACGTCCAACGACTACAGAAATATTTACAAAATTCAATTTTCGGTACTTCTACTGTTTAATTTATAGTCGTGTACTTTACAACATACCTTTAGCTTCACCACGTTCTTCACGCTCTACGGCCTCGGGTGATAAATCTTCAATTGTTTTGCAACACAAGGTTTTATTCGTTTTAATTGGTTTATCAATTTCAGTAATTCGGAGATGAGTTTTCAAAAAGAAAGTTTTCGCGGATCGTATCGACATTGATATTGTATTTCAACGGAATGATGAAAATAGTGGTGCATATGTGAGGACATGATATTAATAACAAAAAAGTTTAACAGTTAAAAACATTAGTTTATAACGAATAGTTTTAAAAACATAAAAAATAACTTATACGAAAATAGAAGAGAGCTTTGGGATGTTTTCTCGCTTTTAAATCCTTTTTTTAAATTTATTAAAAATTTTTTAAAATCCACTCTGTATTTAGTAATTAGGGCCCCCTTCAACAAGATCGCAAATTATACAAATTTTTTCTTTACTAAAATTCGCTTCTGGCCAAGCTGGCGCACTATACCTACGCGGTGAATTGTGTTATTGCTGAAGAAGCCCGGCGTGCTTAATGAAAAATCTTATATTAAGCACTTAACAGCCGATTTATTTAAGCTATATAAATTTTGCTGTCTTCTAAGATATTGGAAATGGCATTTTTTCTGATGGATTTAACTAGTTATAGTGTTTGGGAAGCGTGCAGCAAGTAGCAAACTTTAGTCAACATATAACAATGTGCGACACCACAACGAGATCGACTGCTAAAGGTTTAAAACGCCCTTAGTAGGGAGAAATTTTAATGGAAAAATGTGTGAGATCGGTTTACGATATCAAGCTATTGTATGTCACGAAACGATCGGTTTTTGGGTTAATGGTATTCGAGAGCTTTCGTATCGACTTTGTCTTTTCGCTCGTTGCAATTCGAACGAAATATTTGGAATTATCTAATTCTTTTTTTACACCTACAACTGAAGGATGGGGGTATACTCATTTTTTCTTCATCATGTATGTGACACCCAAAAGGAAGCTTCAGAGATCCTAGAAAGTATATACGTTCGTGATCAGCGTGAAATTCTGAATTAATTAAGCCATGTCTGTTCATCGGTGTGGTGTTTGTTGTTGCCACTCTCCTGGTCGCAAAAATGCAAATATCGACTTTAAATTTGGCAGGAGCATTGGAAGTTTTTGCACGCAATTTGCTATTAACAATGGGTCAAATTGGTCAGAGCAGAAGCGCCTAGTGGAGCGTAAACTGAACACAACTCCATTTTTTTAAACAAAAATTTGTGGGTTTTTGCTCGTTTTTTAGAAATTATGTGAGTTAGAAGATTGAAATTTTTCACATTTAGTTTACGTGCAAAAACGGAAAAATCGGTCATGCCCACAAAAAGTTACAAGTGATTGAATTTTACTTTCTTCCATTCTTTTGAGGTTTTATGTTTATTTTATTATATTATGTTTATATATTATCTGACTAAAAATGGATTCATTCTAAAATAATTATGATAGATACCGCGACCTGGTGGATTATTTTTTTCGTAATAATACCATCGATGTGGGTATCGAATAGAGGAACTTGGAGAGTAGAATGCGAAACGCGTAGTGGTGCGTAGACAGACAGAGAGGGGAGATTCGATGTTGAGCAAACATTTATAGGCCATCGAGTACCATCAACCTAATATCTCTTAAAAGTTGCTCGCCAATCAAATACAAAACGTGAAATCGCCGTAAAACTAGCTCGATAACGAGACCGTAAACCGACTCATGATCAACAATAGAAAGGAAGAACCAGTGTAACGTACAAAAAATCATTCATCAAATACAAGCTTCTCGTCAATAAATTATCACACCGGAAATGGTTTGTAGTATTGTTTGCTCTCTTCCAAAAAAAACTTATTAACAGATTCAAAATGTTTTTGCAGATTGCGATCTCTCTTTCAAGCGCGTATAGAGATAGAAACGAATTCCGTTACGGACAGGGCAAGTTTTAGATGATCTTATCTGAAACTTGAGCTTGCTAGTTAAAAAGCACCCCAACATCAAATGTTAAAATAAATGTAGAAATTTTATATTGCGCATGACGGATAACTTCGGGAAAAATGTATTACCTAATACATAATTACAATTTTTAGAATTGTTTTTTTGCAAGTTAATCATATGCTAAGAAGAATTATGAAACACATATTGAAAAGCAGGAAATCATTTTTTCGAAAGCTCAAGTTCAAAACTTTTGCACTTACCCAGCGGCACGGTGGGTACGTGTGGTGATATTTCAGCTGGTTTTAAGGGTGTAGCCAATGGGGTCTGTGGTCCGTTAACCAATACTTCACCCAGATAACTTAATAATTTTTGGGCGCGATTTTGTGATATACGGAATTGGAAGAGTTGTGGATGTTCGTCAATGAAGTACGTGTCTAAAACACCGTGTAAGAACTTTTGATTTTCCAAAACATTTAACAAAAAGGGAATATTGGTTTTTACTCCGCGAATACGGAATTCTCGTAAGGCACGGTTCATTTTTGAGGCTGAGCTTTGTAAGTCGCTGGCATGTGAGATGATTTTGACTAGTAATGAATCGTAGTAGGGCGAAATGATAGCACCAGCAAAAGCGGAGGCACTATCCAAACGTATGCCCATGCCCTCGCCCGAACGGAATACTTCTAAGCGTCCTGTGCTTGGTTGGAAATCATTGGCAGGATCTTCTGTTGTCACACGGCACTGGATAGCAAAGCCTCGCGGTTGAATTTTATCTTGTGTGTAACCTAACTCAGGTAGCGTCATGCCTTCGGCAACGCGAATTTGTGACTGCACCAAATCAATGTCGGTAATTTCTTCGGTGACTGTGTGCTCGACTTGCAAACGAGCATTGACCTCAATAAAGTAAAAATTGCCTGATTCATCACACAAAAATTCCACGGTGCCCGCATTTTCATAACCAACGTGTTTAGCTAAACGTACCGCCGCGTCTGTCATTTTATTTCGAACTTCGACAGGCAAACGGGGAGCGGGGGCAATTTCTACCACCTTTTGATGACGACGCTGAACTGAGCAATCACGTTCGTACAAATGCACAACATTTCCTGCTTTGTCTCCCAATAGTTGGACCTCAATGTGACGTGGCCGTTCGATAAACTTCTCAATAAACATAGCACCATTACCGAAAGCAGCCTTAGCCTCAGAGCTTGCACGTTCAAACATTTCTCCTACCTCCTCCATTTTACGGACGACACGCATGCCGCGACCGCCTCCACCGTAAGCAGCTTTGAAGATTACTGGCAAACCGTGTTTTTTGCAGAACTCAACAGCTTCATCTTTGGTAGTCACCGGACCATCTGTGCCGGGTACAATAGGTACGCCAGCCTCAATAGCTGCTGTACGGGCAGCCACTTTATCACCCATCTGCTGTACTACTTTCGGTGACGGACCAATGAAACGTAGTCCTGCATCAATAACTGCTTGTGCGAAATCACTACGCTCCGAAAGAAAGCCATAACCAGGATGCACAGCATCCACATCGTTCTCTTTGCAAACACGTATAATTTCTGGAATGTTCAAATAGGCCTCAACCGGTGGCAAGCCCTTGCCCACCAGATATGATTCATCGGCTTTTTGACGATGCATGTGCATTTTATCTTGCTCCGAATAAATGGCTACCGATTTAATACCCAGTTCAGTGCACGCACGAAAAACACGAATCGCGATTTCTCCGCGATTCGCCACCAGAACCGAACGTATGGGTTTATACTCGACCTAAGAGAGTTTTGTTAGCAAAATAGACAAATATGTTCTCGATTACTAAACTCACCTGACTAGAGTAGGCATTTTTGCTTATTAGAAAGACTCGCACTCGTGGTGTTGTCTGACGCAGAGACTTAACAGCCGAGTTGGCGATAGCAAGCAGCATATCTACGAACTTTAGGGAACCTAATTCAAGTAAAAATAAGAACGAATAAAAAAAAACTTAAGATGAAAGAAAATTTTGCAAACATATAATTAATATATAAATATGGATTTAATGTTGGTTGTGATATGCAGCAAGCCCCAGAATTGGAGACTGGCTGCATAACAATCTAAGCAGCAATCCCGCCGTTGCAGGATGAGGTTATATACACTTTGCCAAAAAGGTTTGTAATATCCAGAAGAGACGCACAATTCCAACATATGTATATTCCCAATTAGCATTAAATTCTGGATTGATCTAAGCATGTTCGCTTATCCGTCTGCCTATCTATCGTACAGAGTACATGAAGTTTCTGCGGACGTACGTAACACCCAGAAGAACTTAACATAGACCCACTTCTTATTATACTAAGCTTGTCTATCTGTCTTACCACGTGTTTTTGTGTTCAAGCTACATTTTGACGACATTTGCAAACTGACGTGTGACAAATGCTATTGAAAAATCGGTTAGGTGGGATCATTTTTACGACTACGCTCCATTATTTTGAAAAAGTCGCCTTACGAAATATGTTTGCAATCATCAACCGTTGAGCAATAGCATTGCGAAAGCGTGAATTTTTTGAATCCCGTTCCGTGTAATCACTGCTAAGAAAACTAAGCGTACATATAGGCAAAAAGATTTTATTTTGATATAAGAAATGACTGTAGCAAATTTGGACTATGTATTTGTATTTTTTGGATCCCAGTCCAAAATGTGCCTTCACTTGGAAACAAGTTGCCATTTTTGTTCTAGGTTAGGCGATGTCGTGTAAGGTGTTTGTTAACCCGTCTGGTTCGATAATAATGTTTTCACTTGTTATACCCACCACTATAAGATGGGGGTGTACTCATTTTGATTTTTTTTATAATATATGTTTAACACCTTGATCAGGGTGAAATTCTAAATTGATTTAGCCACGTCTGTCCATCTCTGTGCCCATGTGATGTTTGTTGTTACTACTCTGCTCGTTGCAAAAATAAAGATATCGATTTCAAGTTTGATAGAAACATTGGAAGTTTCTGCACGCAGGTTGGTATTGAAAATGGGCCAAATTGTTCAGAACGGAAGTGCGGAGTGGGGCGTGAACTGAACGCAATTTGGGTTTTTTAACAAAAATTTTTGAATTTTTGCTCGTTACTCGGCAATTATAAGAGTTAGAAGGCACCCATTTCCCACATTTGCTTTACGAAGCACTCTACTTCTTATGTGCAAAAGTGGAAAACATCCGAATTGCTCACACAAAGCTACAAGTGATTAAATTCTTTTTTTTTACACATTTGTGAGGTTTTATGCTTGCATCTCATATCAAGGCAGAATGTTTAAAACTAATTTGTACACTCCTCAAATCAAGATATATTATCTACCTAAAAATGGGTTAATTTTAAAACCCCGACTAGTTCTTTCTTAATAATACCAGCGATATGGGTATCAAATAAAAGAACTTGGAGAGTAGAATGCGAAAAACATAGTGGTGGTAGGTATGCGGGATTCGGTCCCTGCCGAATATAACTTTCTTACTTGTTTTAATTTGTCTTCACCTAAAAATCTTTGTACGGATGTAAGAACTTTTAACATGCGTGTATTTCACGCTCATCAAACTTACCTTATTACTTAATTTTATACAACTAAAAAGTGAATGGCAGTCGTCGGTTATAAATTAACTGCAATGATATACAAAAAAAAAAAAAAAATTAATTTTTTTTTATTATAATTTTTGTTACAAAATTCGTGCAAGTCTTAATTGAAAACATGCATAAGTATATATATGTATACATATGTGGAATGGTAGTAAAGGTTATCAATACTATTTTTATAGAAAACTTAAAGGTTATTATTCTAACTTCTGAAAGCAATAAACACATGCAGCTCACTAAACGGCATACAAAGTTTGTCGCTACCAGTATAGACTTTAAGTAGATTTCTGTGTCACTTGACTTGAGTAGAACGGAAAAAGGAAACAAAAAATTCGATTCTGCATTAATAAAATTTCGGAAGTGTGTGCAGCTCACTGCTTAGCGTGAAGGAGAAGCGAAAGTATAGAATATTTCAAAATGAATCAAGATCGTGAAATGATTATCAGTTTTTCTTTTATGAGTAGTAGGACTCTAGGAGATTGCCAAAGAAGGAAGTGAATCTATTTATAATCCATTAATGAAACATCTTAATACCGTATTTTTCGGACTATAAGACGTACTGAACGCTAAGACGCACTTCAAATTTATTAGATGATTTTTAGAAAAATGTATTTTAATTTTACTTTCGGATCAAAATTTTTATTTGCTATTAGCAGATTCAGTTCAACTTCACCCTCGGTACTAATACTCGTCTCGTTAATGTCGCCATCCGCATTACTTTCACGTAACTTAAACTTGGAGACGATACGGTAATTATTAGTATAGACTCAACACTATTGACTATTAAACTTCTGGCCTATCGGATTACAGTAAGTATTGAGCTGACTTTAGTATTTCAAATTAATCACTTGTAAGGTGAGAAGTTTTGAAAATTAAATTAATTTTTGCGACCAGGACAACGCTTACGATTGACACTGCCTATATCGACATGCTTGAATCGATACAGAATTCTATGCTGTTCAGGAATATATGTACTTCGTGGAATGTGTGACGATACCTTTCGGGCAATGCAAACGTTTTCACAAAATGAATACAGTCCATCGTTCGATGGTGGATACTAAAACATCATTTTAACATGGCCCTCTTAATTTCTTTGAAGGACGAGTTTTTCGAACTAAAAAAAAAACAAGAAAAGTTTATTTATTACTCGGCGACCAATTTAATCGTCGTATGATCCCTTGAACTTTCTTTTCATTTTTGAACACGTGGAGAAAACCTCACACAATATTGGCGACATTTTCCGCAGATTTTTGAATAAACTTTGTTAAGACTGTCAGCAAACATTCGTTGCCCCATTTTTTAGTTGCCGTCCCGTTACGCATTTTAAGCAAAGCGGGAAAGAAAACCGCTTTATTAGAAAGTTAGAATGCTGCTGCGTTACGGGACATCCTTTAAGAACTGACGATGGACTCATTTGTTTAAGCCAATTCAAAATCTCTTCAAATGCAAGCATAAAGTTATTCTTCTCTTCTTCTACGCGTCGGGTATGAGGAAAGAATATGTACTAATTTAATGATAACAATTGGTACACACATACAGACACTTTCCAAAAAACGATCTTCCATTTAATAGTCTGGCGCTAACAATGCCATGGATAAAATGTCATACTCGCCGAATAGGTTTCGTGGCGTATTTTTCCTTTTTTATAATTGGAAATTTCTACTTTATACAAGACGATTACGATTAGAATGAATTAAACTCAGCTAGGGGCCGTAATCGGGTGGAGCGTTTAACGACTTCCCCCATACACCTGAAGTTATCAAGCGGGAGTAGGAGGCGGTGAGGAACAGGTGAGAAGTGACGGAAAGAGAGAGACAGAAAGAAAGAAAGAAAGAAAGGGAGAGAGAGAGAGAGAGAGAGAGAGAGAAAGAGAAAGAGAGAGAAAGAAAGTGAGATGGAGGAGGGGGGTGGGCTCAGAATAATATGTGCATGTTTAATAGGTACGTGCTCTGCCTTCGACGAGGAAGTTTAAATAGATTTTAAAAAAATTTTACTATATTGTCTCCTATTGAGATAGAAACTGATAGCAGTTTGTTTATTTCGATTCTATCAAATTATTTTGAAAATATAAAGTACAATAAGGTTAGTTTATTCAGGTAACGCTGATGAAGCAAAATGATTATTGCCCACTGTCTCTCTGCCCCTCTCTCGTTCTCTTCACAGCACTTTTTCTACATTATAGGAGTCGATAACCTACAGAAGTGAATCGAATAACTGAATACTGGATGCCATAAGCAAGCAGAGGATCGGTAATATTCATTACATCTAATCATCAGTAAGTGCAGCTGATGTTAATACTTTATAAATGAATATTTCTCTTGTGTAATACCGTTCGAATTATGTAAGAGAAAGCCAAAAAAATGCAAAAACTATTTATTTATAAAATTGTACTAATTGCCATTAAATAACTTTAATGATATCATTAAAAAATAAATATTTGAATTATGGGGAAAATTATTGTGTTACTAATGTGAAACAATTTTAAATTTCTTCGGTTAAATATTGACTGGACGAGCCCCTTTTTTTGTTTCTCTTTTATTATTGGCGTTAAATTTCTGCTCATAAAAACGATTATATTTTTTGTCTGCTTATTTCTCTTTCTTAGCGCTATATACGGCATTAATATGCATGGAAATGCATTGAACTTTAGACTTGAATAAGGCCAAAAAAAAAAAAAAGAAAGAAAAAAAAAAACAAAAGTAAAGAGGAACATAAAAATAGTAAAACATGTGCGTCTGACATTTAGAAAGCGAGACATACGAGAAAGCTTTATTTGTTTGGAGAGAATCTCTCATGGCAAAGTTTTATACGTTTACAGCTAAAATATTATTTTCTGCAACTCTTTTTTTTTTTTTTTTTTTTTTAAGAACAGTGCATTACAATTGAATAGACAGCGTAGCGAATACTTCCTTTGCTAAATATCAGCGGCTTCTTTTTATTTTTGAGTGTTCAATTTTTGCTTGGAAATAATATTTTAAACTTGCTTGTCTCTCTTGTACATCTAGAGATATAGTCTTTCGAGATCATGTCCATCCGTCCTGTTGCCAGTTATATTACTGTTGGAATACACGTTTGCGGTAGCAAAACTTGATGTTGAGGTAAATGCTTGCAATTTAATTTCTTAGTTGATATCCATAGATCAGTTTTGAAAATAGGCGTAATCTGCCCTTGGCTGCAGCTATAACATGCCTAAAACTACAACTTAGAGTTCATGGTAAACATTGCTCTTAAAGTTGCTACAAACAACATCAGAAGTTCATCTAAAAGCCCATTAGATAAATTGACTTACAAGCAAAAAGTGATGATTGTCTGTAAAGCTACAGACATTTCTCAAGAGTAGTTATATTTTTCGTAAAAAAGTTTTCGATGGCCCTATTGACAAGCTCACATTTAAGAAAAGTTTGTCGGGTATAATGTTTTAGTCCAAGTATTGTAGTGAATAAAGGTTTGCTACTTTTGTGGGAGAAGATAATCAGAAGAGTAACACGTCGGCATATTTTTGGCGAGCACCGTTCAACTAATGACCTTTGCATTTTTTACTTAACACTTAACTCATAAGAAGGCACAATTATATCAGCAGTTTTTTGCAGACAACAATTGTATTCCTTTATTGAAGATGAAGTCATGTTCTAATGAAACCAAGTCACACAGATTGCATCAAATCAGCTTTTAATATTTTCGAATGAATCAACGTGAAAAGTGATCATTACGATCTTGCTGGATTCCCTCAAAAAGAAGACGAGGGTGCAAGGAAAAGAGGAGGAGATAGGATTTTCTACTCGTGTGATTTTAAGCAGACACGTGATAACTTATTGTACTCCATCATTTTATCGCAATATCATGATATTTTTGTATGCTTCTCATTCGCATTAAATTCAGAATTGTCTTTTGAAACGCTTCAAACTAACGTGAGGTTGAATTGGACACAAGTCTTTTCGGCACCTGCGGCTTTTACAACAATTGTTCATTAATTTTTATACTAACATTCAAACGGGCGCCAAAGTTAATAGATTTCTTTCCGCAACTAAACAAACGCACAATGTCTTATATCTTTTAAATTTAATTAATTGTAAAGCATATGCTTTCCAATAAAACTGCATTACACTATAGAAAGACTGATAAACGACTAACTGAACGTAAAGTGTAATAAACAAATATTAATTTTCAGATAAGAAATTCTATTATTAAATTTATTACATGAAAGTGTGAATTGTTTGTAATTTGTATTTATTATATATATATATATATGTATATATATATAGCGCTAATGAAGAGAATAGCTAACTAATTCTCTCACATCTTAATACGTTGTTAACAATTTTCCATTTGTCACTAATGAACAAAAAAAAAAAAAAAAAGTGACAAATACTTCTCTACTAGCATCAAAACTCATGCCATTGAAGTGTCTCCATAATTTCAAATTTAAGACTTTGCATTGAAGTGCACTATTTGATAAAGATAAGAAGTTCGTATTGTTTATTCCAAAACAGCTTTGATGTTATTATCATTGTTATTGTTATCATTGGTTTATTAGCAAACATGGCTAGGTGTGCATTTTCTTATACTAATCATATTAGCCTGCAAGACAAGCCAAAAGGTATATCGTATCGTATACGAGAAAGTTGCGCGATCAAGTCGAGCTCTTTTCTTATTGCACCTCAGCTAAAAGGTATTGTTTTCTTGACGGTTCCCTATGCTGACTAAAAAAAGTCTTGTCACTATTTCCCAATTTTTCTTGCACTCAGCATATTACGTTTCCTACAAGAAAAAAGGAATCTTACGTATGACGTAATTCGCATTTAATTCTCATATTTTCATACATCTCGGCTTTGATCCGGTTTTATTTTGCTTTCGAGATTTCACCCATATTTTAGTAAATCCGGAAACATGATCCAAAGATTATGCTTTGTTCCTCAGACTTGTGCACAGACGTCTCTTCTTGCACTGCATTGGTATTCTTCGCAACTTCTTCGCCAGAATTTCATAGCTTCCCGCAATTGTCTAAACTTTTTCACTAAAAGTTCAAT